AGAACATGCTCAGAACATGTTCGGAACATGCTCTTTCTCTCTCAAACAGGAAACTGCACCCTGTGTTTACTTCAGGGCTGGGCATCCTTTGGACATTTTGCTCTCCGGGCTCTCCCTGTGTTCCCCCTGTGTTCCCCCCTTGTCCCTTCCTCTTATAGTAGATGTTCTGGGAATTTCTGCGATCTTTGGAGCGTTTTGACATGTTTTGACATGTTTTGACATGTTTTGACATGTTTTGACATGTTTTGACATGTTTTGACATGTTTTGACATGTTTTGTCATGTTTTGACACGTTTTGACATGTTTTGGCACGTTTTGACACGTTTTGACATGTTTTGTCATGTTTTGACATGTTTTGTCATGATTTGACATGTTTTGACATGTTTTGACATGTCTTGACATGATTTGACATGTTTTGACATGTTTTGACATGTTTTGACATGTTTTGACATGTTTTGACATGTTTTGACATGTTTTGACATGTTTTGACATGTTTTGACATGATTCGACATGTTTTGTCATGTTTTGACATGTTTTGACATGTTTTGACATGTTTTGACATGTTTTGACATGTTTTGGCATGAGGTGACATGTTTTGACATGTTTTGACATGTTTTGACATGTTTTGACATGTTTTGACATGTTTGACATGTTTTGCCATGTTCTGACATGTTGTGACATGTTTTGACATGTTTTGACATGTTTTGACATGGTTTGACATGTTTTGACATGTTTTGACATGTTTTGACATGTTTTGACATGTTTTGACATGTTTTGACATGTTTTGTCATGTTTTGACACGTTTTGACACGTTTTGACATGTTTTGACACGTTTTGACATGTTTTGACATGTTTTGACATGTTTTGACATGTTTTGACATGTTTTGTCATGATTTGACATGTTTTGACATGTTTTGACATGTTTTGACATGTTTTGACATGTTTTGACATGATTTGATATGTTTTGTCATGTTTTGACATGTTTTGACATGTTTTGACATGTTTTGACATGTTTTGTCATGTTTTGACATGTTTTGACATGTTTTGACATGTTTTGACATGTTTTGACATGTTTTGGCATGAGATGACATGTTTTGACATGTTTTGACATGTTTTGGCATGATTTGACATGTTTTGACATGTTTTGACATGTTTTGACGTGTTTTGACATGTTTTGACATGTTTTGACATGTTTTGACATGTTTTGACATGTTTTGCATGTTTTGACATGTTTTGACATGTTTTGACATGTTTTGACATGTTTTGACATGTTTTGACATGTTTTGACATGTTTTGACATGTTTTGACATGTTTTGACATGTTTTGACATGTTTTGTCATGTTTTGACATGTTTTGACATGTTTTGACATGTTTTGACATGTTTTGGCATGGTTTTGACATGGTTTGACATGGTTTGACATGTTTTGACATGGTTTGACATGTTTTGACATGTTTTGACATGTTTTGGCATGAGGTGACATGGTTTGACATGGTTTGACATGGTTTGACATGGTTTGACATGTTTTGACATGTTTTGACATGTTTTGACATGTTTTGACATGTTTTGACATGGTTTGACATGGTTTGACATGGTTTGACATGGTTTGACATGGTTTGACATGGTTTGACATGGTTTGACATGGTTTGACATGGTTTGACATGGTTTGACATGGTTTGACATGGTTTGACATGGTTTGACATGGTTTGACATGTTTTGACATGTTTTGACATGGTTTGACATGTTTTGACATGTTTTGACATGTTTTGACATGTTTTGACATGTTTTGACATGGTTTGACATGGTTTGACATGGTTTGACATGGTTTGACATGGTTTGACATGGTTTGACATGGTTTGACATGTTTTGACATGTTTTGACATGGTTTGACATGTTTTGACATGTTTTGACATGTTTTGACATGTTTTGACATGTTTTGACATGTTTTGACATGTTTTGACATGTTTTGACAATTGAGTTCCCCCAATCCTCTCTGATCCTCTCTGACTTGCCTCATGGTTGTCCCAATGGCTGGTGACAAACCGATCTACTTTCTGAATCTTTCCAGAGCTGCTCAGGTAGATCACACTCTTCCCAGATCTTCCCAGGTTGTATCTTTTCAAATGTTCCACTTGTGTTCCAGTTTCCGGGCGCGCCGATTCACTTTGGAATGGAACTTGCTTTCTTGAATTGTTTTGGATTGTTTTGGGTCTTTGCCGCACAACGCTGGTGTGTCTGAAGCTGAGAGGCTTGAAAGATCTTTTTCAAGATCTTGAAAGGAGGTCTAGTAGACGGATGTAGACGGTCTATGACGGTCTAGCATGCTTTAAATATCTTTAAATGGTGTAGCTTCAGAAAAAAACCCGTTGCCTCAGGGTCACACATGGTCACTGCTCCGAGACAAAGAGTTTGCTCTTTGCCGCCTTGAACATGCACGGCTGTCCTCATGTCTCATGTCGTACTTATCGTACTCTAATGATCTTTAATGTACTTTATGGTTTTTGTCAAACTATCCCACCTCATTGTGAGGATGAGCATACTACTAGGCATTGTCTCGACCTGGCAGCACGTAACAGCACAGCCAGCAAACGTCTAGCATAAAAGGGTGAACGCTTTGCTGTCAGTCAAAAATTAAGACCGCAGCTACGGATTTTGGCCATTCTATAAGATATTCAAAGATATTCTAAGCTTCTGTGATCTTCTGTGCCATCTTACTTTGGGGCGGCCAATTTCCCATGGATATCACCGGAAGCCACTTCTTCACAGGTCAAAAAGCCTCAAACGATGACACCCAAAGCAATTTATCCACCCTGCCTCGCTGTTCACCTAGAGCCCAGTACCTGTTCGCAATTCCACGGCTATGTCTGACTGCATTCATTTGCATTCCCTATCTCCCGATCCCACATCGCATCGAAGATAAAAATAGTTTGCATCAGCTTCTCTGTCTTCTCTAGTCGAAGCATGACATTCCTTGCACAACTGAGTATCATACCAGAGACGAGCAGAGGCAACGTCTTCCCACGTAGGGGGCTCACACCTCGTGCCACTTGAAAAACATGGGCAACCAGGGATTTGCTGTGGGGATCTGTGGGGCTAGGAGATGCTTAAGGAAAACCGAGAGGTCAAAGAGTGTGTCTGAACCGAGTGGTTCAGTGATCTTTCTGAAGGGCATTGAGAAAAATGCAAGATGCCACAGGAGTACTTCTTCCTTTCCAACTTTCCAACACTTTGAGCGTTTCCATTTGCTGGCTAATTTGCAATGTGAAGACAGCTTGAGCCTGAAGGATACGTCTATAAGGAGACTCAGAGCGATGTGGGGTCACGGATTGAATAGCATCCAAAGATGTATATGTCTGAGACCGCACTACTGGGCGGAGATTGTTTCTTACCCCTGCGTTGTGTGCCCTGCAATGGACAAACAAGCAATAAGAAGGCTTATGACAACAAATGGTAGGTTCATGTTGGTGAAATTCAGCGTGCCTATGCGTTTTGTGGTCTTATAAATAAGCAATGATCCAATGGAATAATCATATCATATCATATATATATATGGG